AGAGAGAGAGAGAGAGAGAGAGAGAGAGAGAGAGAGAGAGAGAGAGAGAGAGAGTCTTAGTCTCTGTCTCTCTCTGTGTCTCTCACTGTGTCTCTCTCCCTCTTTGGTTTCTATCTTCTGATCAGTTTGTCCACCCTTCAAACAAAAAAAAAACTCCTGAAGGGTTCTATCGTACATAATACCAAACTGTATGATGCCAGTATGCCTGATTGAGTGCAAGGGTTTCCACATGTGGAGTTTGGCCACAGGCAGGCTGCAAATGCAGAATGGTTTCTAGAGAGAAGGTTTTTGAGACGAGCAGAACGAAGGTGACTAATGGACATGGAGAACTGTTGCAGCAACTCAAATGAAAAAACGTGTTTGTTTGTTTGTTTGTTTGTTTGTTTGTTTGTTTGTTTGTTTGTGTATAAAACATCTTGCCACAGGCAGTCTGTCGATCGCCATAGCGGGCTACCGTCTTCCCCCGAACACAACGCACCCTCATTTTGGCTGTATCTGGCCGGAAATAGCTTGCATACATTCATTTTTAGGGTGCGTTATGTTCGGGGGAAGACGGTAGTAGTGTGGAAGGAGCCACGAGAGGACCTGTCTTGAGAGAAAGGGAGGTTCTTGCTTGGGCTGTGGAGATGGCGGCAGTGAGCATAGGGCGCGCGGCAACGGCGAGAGCGGCAAGTGCTAGTGTCTTTCAAGGAAGGAGGCTAGACAGAGAGATCAATTGCAATGGGAGGTATCACACAGGCGTGTCGTCGTCGTCGGCGGTTGGACCGTCAGCAACAGCTGCAGGTAGTACAACATCTCAATCTTCTCGGCGACGGCATCAGTATTCGCGGCAAAGGATGTGTAAATTCGTTGGACTTAAGGCATTCTCCATGGCTGATCTCTCTCCCGGCGAGGATGTGAGGTCAGCGATGGATCTTATGGGGAAAAGAAGTTATGTTTGCAAATCTTGCACGCGGAGGAGAGCAGTGACGACCTGCATGGCAGGCGATACTGAAAGTACGTCCAAACAATCCCTCTCTCTCTCGCTTCGTGTCTCTTCCCCAATCCCTCCCTCCTTCCCTCCCTCTGCATATCTCATGCTTGCTTGCTTGCAACTATGGCCCAGCGGATGTTGATTACTTGGTCTCTTCCTCTCTGTCTGACTTTCTCTGTCTCCCTCTCTCTTTCCGTGCTCTGTGTGTGTGTGTGTGTGTGTGGGTGTGTGGGTGTATGTATGTGTGTGTGTGTGTTGTCATGTTCGCTATACACAACTCCACAAAAAAGCACGACTGTGCCATGCTGTTTTGTCGGACTTCACCGACTTATCAGGAGATTGACCCCCGACAGGCTGCCCTCTTTGTGTGTGTGTGTGTGTGTGTGTGTGTGTGTGTGTGTGTGTGTGTGTGTGTGTGTGTGTTGTCATGACTCGCTGTTCTTAGCTGAGTGTGCATCTGCTCTGCTAAGAGGCAGGGTTTACCCACTCTTGCAATCAATCAGGCATACGGCCATCATACAGTTTGGTATTCTGTACGATTGAACCCTTGAGTTTTTTTTTTTTTTTTGAACATATCCGCCTTTCCGCTAGGGGGGGTTATTAAGAGCAGCCCCTCCTAGCGGCCGGACAGCTGATATTCATCTGTTCCGTGCAATCATTCCCTTTTTTTTTTTTTGTAAATCGCCCAGGTTACTGTAGAGGTCGGATTCGGACTTGGAAGTCCGAACTGTTAGCCATTCTGTGCACTCATCCTTGAGGTAATCTGCAGAGGGTTTTGTATAGTCAGGTTCTTGGCTGACTATACTCCCATCCATAGGCTGATATTCAGCTGCAGAGGTAATCTGCAGAGGTTTTTGCGATGCTTCGTAGGCATTCCTGCAGTTAGACAATTGCTATAGCCATCCTGGAGGTAATCTGCAGGGGTTTTTGTATAGTCAGGTTCTCTGTGTAGTCAGGTTCTCTGTATAGTCAGGGTCTCTGTATAGTCAGGTTCTCGTCTGTTTACAGAGTTGGGCAACCCGTACAATTGGATGTGAAGCTGGCAATGCTGTTAAACCACCACCACTACCACCCCAGTTCTGCAACCAGCAATCTCTTCCTCCCCCCCCCCTTTATTTTGTTCAATTTAAATGACCAGCACATCCAAGCCTCTTTTTTTCTGCCATGCCAGATCCGCATTGCACGCACGCCGAGCTTTGCCGAACCACCTGCGGTGCACTTCTTTTCTTGTCTGGCCGGTGCTGCTACGTAGCCATTGTGGTGTGGTGCGGTAGCCCTGAGCCCCCGAAATGTTCAGATTGGCTCAATTTTCATTCCTCAGATTTGCTTTGGCTATGTACTGATGGTTTAAGGTTTTAGGGTTTAAAATTTTTGAACTCAATTTTTGATTTGAGCTGAGCCTGCAAGCCAGTGCAAGGTGTTTGAGTAGCGGTCTCCTTGGGTATGCTGAGGTGTCCCATGCGTTGGTGGGCCAGCGGCACCTGCTGGCAACCAGGGCGCAGGGTCCCATGAAGTACAGGATGTGAACAACCCCTCACCGAGCCCCCCGGGATAAAGCACTCGCATGGGCACGACGGGGGCTCTGATTTCGGAACTGCTCGTGGGATGGGCGATCAATCCGGCAGCCATAATATTTCTTCTTCTTCTTCCACCTAAGGCCCAGAGGTGGGCATCAAAGCTACCGTCTTCACCCGAATAGAACGCCCGGTCATTATAGCTGTATTTGGCACAAGTTGCGGTGCAGATGCAGGGATAATGACCGGGCGTTCTATTCGGGTGAAGATGGTAGCTAAGCCAGGCATATAGGCCGTTGAAAGAAACAACTGGCCTTGATTGCTCTGCTGTGTATAGAATCAGCCACAGAATTCATCCTTGGAGGATGCCTTTGTCGTGCATTTAGGATCCCAGACGTCCCCGTACGGATAGCCATTCTGGCCCTACAGGCAGCAGCTGTCGATACTGTTAGCCTTTCTTTGCTGTTGTGTATAGGCCATTTGGCGATGTCTTCTAGGCTCATAAAGGCTCTGCAGATTACCTCAAAGATGGCTCATGCGATGGCTTTCATAAAAAAAATAGTTGATTCATTAGCTGTTCTGTGCTGTTGTCTAGGCCATGCGATGACTCATAAAATCACCTGACATACAATAGCACAGAAAAAAAACGTGGAATTGGCGATGTCGCTCGTAAATCAGCTACAGGCAGCGATTTGGCCATTGCTCATTAATCAGCTGTGGAATTGGCAATGTCGCGCGTAAATCAGCTGTTGAATTGGTGGTTGCTCACACATCATCTGTCAAATTGCCGATGTCGGTGATGAAGATGACGAACGTGGTGGTGTCGGTGCAGAAACAGGCAGTTGGTGGAATGTGTGGAGTTATGCAATTGACGATTCTATCTAATCACACTGCCACGCAGAAGGGTCATAAGGGACACTGATTTACTTAATTACTATGAACAAAATAATGTGGTATACGCAAGAAAAAGGTATCCTTCTAATATAGTTATGGGTTTTTCACCGAGCATAGGGAGGCGTTTTTGTTTTGGCGTGTGGAGAGAGTGTCTTTCTGCTCATGCTGTGTGTACTGGGACTTCTGAGCTTCGAAGAGTGGGGCAACTGTGCAATCTGAGGTAGAACATACAGGTTTTCAGCTCACGGCGCAGTAAATCCTTCTCGTGAATCGAGAAGGAATCAATGCCGTGAAGCTGAATTTGACATTGAATTATTATTATTATTTCATTAATTTAATTACTTTTTTTATGACTTGCTGCTGGTGGGGGTGAAGAAAGGAATCAGACCATTGCTTCTTGGAATAGAATGGAATCAATGGATCCATGACCAAAATGTTTTTTCTTTTTTCTTTTTTTTTTCCCCTTCCCGTCAATGAATTAATGTTGAATAATAATAATAATATAATAATAATATAAATATAATATAAAATAATATAAAATAATATAATAATATAATAATAATATAATAATAATATAATAATAATATAATAATAATTGCAAGGAATATGAGTGTGAACGATATACAGAAAACCAAGTTGCGAAATCACACAGATGTCCAAGTAGTCCTGTCCAAGCAGAGAGTACAAATGCACCGAGAAAACCATCCATATAGAGCGATACAATGAAGTAATGAGTCAATGTCCAAGCCCGTAGGCCGCACCAACACAGTATCCAAAGTCGCTCCTCTCTGTCTGGCACCCAGCACCCAGCCTACTCTACCCGACTATCCTACCTACATCTGGTTCACGCAACAGGCTCACTTCGACTCTCGAAAACCAAATGTTCATGACTGTCAACACCATAGCCGACCTCTCTTCATGCACCAGTATCTCATCACCCTCAATCAGACCTTGATTACCCCACACTGCGCCTCCTTCCCTGAAGACCACCAGTTCGCCCGCTGTACTCCTGGCGCCCAGCAGCCCGGCTATGGCTGCCTGCGCCCCGCTGGCCTGCAGCGCCCCACCTCACCACTACGCGCCCTGTCAACGCCTTTGGCAGCAGTGCAGCATCAAGCGAGAGCGCAGCCGCACTTCCGCATTGAGTGCACTGGCCAGTATGCCTGGCCTGGGGTGCCTCACTTCTTTTATGGAAGTGGCAGCCTCCTGGATGCTGCGTGTGGCCTGGCTGGAAGCTTCCAGTAGCTTCCGGTTGGGCCTCAGACCCTGCGCCCAGGCCCGATACTACAGTTGAGGGCCTGGGCCCTTTTCAGTTGGGCACGGCCTGAGTCTCCGGACTTGGGCTGTTTGCTGCATCTGTGCAGGGCTCCCAGGCAGGTGCATCGGCAGTACTGCTTTTCCAAAGGCCGATGGCCTGCGTCCCAATGTATCGGCCCTGCTTTGTGTGTATGTGCCCAGGCGCAACTGGCAAGGCCTGGGCCAACTGTATGACGCAGCTTAGTGAGGCTCACACGTCTACTCAACCAACTGCTGTGCTGCGAGAGCCTGAATACCCACATATGGAAATGTCGAATTTTGGCCTCTGACGAATATTCAGGCCCGCCTTCACTTAGGGCGGGCACTCAGCTTGCTGGGGGCCTTAGCCCAGAACATGTGATGTCTGATAGGGCCCCTTGAGGGCTTGTTCCTCACATAATATAATAATAATATAATAATAATATAATAATAATATATAATATAATAATAATAATATATAATATAATAATAATAATATATAATATAATAATAATAATAATAATAATATATAATAATAATAATAATAATAATAATATATAATAATAATAATTAATTATTAATTATTAATTATTAGTTGCCATCTGCATTTGTGCAGCAACGAGCATGTTCATCCCATTGGGGTCTGCACAAAAAGTTAGAAGAAGAATGTACCCAAGAGCTGCCTTCTTCCCCCAAATACAACGTGCGGTCATTATAGCTGTTGAAATACAGACCCCAGTTTGAACCCAGATGATGGAACTTGATTGATGAGTAAAACCAAATATTTCTGAATTGCTCAATGATGATATCTCAAGGCCGTTGCCTTTTTCAAAAAAAAAAAAAAAAAAAAAAAAAGAAGTAGGCTGGACCCCGTTTAGCAGGTCCCCCCTTGGCAGATTATCAATGTCACAAGGGTTGGGCTGTTCCCCTTTCCTGATCTGATATCCCCCGCTTCTTTGGATGTACAAACATGCTTGCCGGTGATAAGTAACCTGACTGCTGCCCCCCAGAATAGAAGGGGCTTTGTGTTGGGAAAAAAGAAGAAGCAAAAAAAGAATGCATATTGCAGTTCCATGTGTTCTCTGTGCAAGTGCTTGCACGGAGGAGGGCCTTGGTGTGGGCCCAGATTTACGGATCTAAAACTACTGCCGAGTCAGGGCCTTGGGCCCAGATGTATGGATCCAAAACTACTACAGAGTTTCCAAACTAATGGTTGCTCAGTTAGACTGTATGCTCTCATATTTTTCATTTTCATTTTTTAAGATTGAGAGTTTGAGTCTGCAGTGCGCGTCAGTGTCTTAGGTCCATGAATTAGCAAAGGATTTACTGCAGATGGATCGTTCCCTTGTTTCCCTTGTGAATGCGTCAGCTGAGAGGTTATAAGACTCTCCACGCACAACAATCCCACTGAAGAAGAAGTCCGTCTTCCACAGCATAGCATTTGGCACGCTGTTTCCGTTTTTTTTTTTTTTTTTCTGTTTTGTTTTCCATTTTCTTTCCTCCTTCTGAAGGTTTTTTTTTTCCATCTTTTCTTTTCTTCTTTCTTCGAAAAGGGCAACGGCCTTGAGATATCATTATTGAGCTGACCGGCCCGGCCCTAGGTAGTTCAGAATTGGCCCTAGGTATTTTAGTCATCTGCTCTCTGTGGAGTTGGAACTCAGGTCTGTTATTTCAATTTTCATCGGGGGTGTACCAACTGAGCTAGGCCAGTTGGTACTGTTTCCCTATGGGCCCTCCATCCTTGGTTCCTTTTTCTGATTGCCCCTCGTCCTTCTGTCTCCATGTCTGGTGCAAATTACATATGGTCTTTAGAATGTCACGTTGAGTAAGGGGGGGGGAAAAGAGAGAGAGAGAGAGAGAGAGAGAGAGAGAGAGAGAGAGAGAGAGAGCTGTCTCTTATACACATCTAGATGTGTATAAGAGACAGCTACTGACATTCGGATAGAACTGTGCTACCTTGTCGAAACCTAGGGCCCAGAGTCTCTTGGGGCCTGTAGTAGATTGTCTGGGCCTGGCGTCCGAAGTTCCCGTTCGACAAGGCTCGTCCGATTCCACT